GACAAATTCCATAAAAAATGAAGTCAAATGGACACAAAACTTTCTACATTTTCCATAGAAAATTTTACCAATCAAACACAATTAATTACCATTCCCATTAAAACATTTTCTAGGAAAATCAATTCCCTGTAAAACATTTTCTTTCCACCCATTTTCCAACTTTGCAATCAAACGGACCCTAAGATTTCTTCCTTAATATTTCCATTTTTCCTGTCAAACTATAATTCCATTTTCCTTCTCATAATATAATTATTATTTAACAAATTTGGAACAAACCCTACAATCTTCACCTTGGTACAAATTTTTCCAATCAAAGTCACATGCTTCGATATCTATCATCACACTCCTTAGGTGCCACCACTCTTCAATCAATTGTAATAGACATAAAATTCAAAGATTCGTCAAACCTAATCTTGCAATTTGGCTTCTTCGTAGTACAATATTCAGTTTTCTTATCCCTAGCTACAGAACTCGTTTTGGTTGCTTCACACTCTTTAACAATAGTGGAAGACCCATCTTATGTGACTCGATCACTATAGCTCCACCTCAATGTGCACTAAAATCGCCACAGCTCTCCTCGTGTATGATTCGTTTACACCGCAACTCCAAAGGTGGTTTTATGGTCGATGCTCGAGCTTGACCTCCCTGCCTCGTCCCTAATATTGCTGATGCTGGAAACACGTGCATATTTCCTATGGGTTCAGGCTCAAGATCAATTACCATGAACTCTACTGAACTTGCCACGATCGGTTACCTTTGGATTCTATGACCCGTTGTAGTCAATGCTTAAGCTCTATTTGTTTGAACAAAGTGTACATACGAATGATTCAAGATGCCGAAGGAAAGATAATATCAATTTCTTGTAATCGATATGAAATTTATGAAAAATTAAGGCTTAATTTATTGTTGTCGTTGTAATAGATTAAAAAAAATAAGAAAATACTTGCTAACCTTGAACAAGTCCACCTTGTAGTGTATGAAACGATATACGTTGTTATGTTAAAGTTCTAATAACAAAAAATCGACTAGACTTTGATATTCAAGATGTGCTAACAGAATGGTATAGGTACGGGAGCTTTTCTTGACTAGGTCAAGAAGGTTGTCAATCCACGGACCTTTAATTTTCAAATTGTCAAGTCAAGAATTTTTAATGAAATTATTGACTACATTAACATCAAGCTTCAAGTTATACATATTAAACTATGGAAAAAATTGGCTTACGAAAATTACAAAATTTAAACATTTCTAATCAAGATTAGAGTATAGTCTTTGCAGGCCTAAAGATATTAATTAAAAATTGGTAGTGTCAAGTAGGATAAATTTAGTCTCTCTCTTGAAGATTAGAGAAGAAATAAATTAAAATAATTACTATCAAATAAAAAGTGATTTGGAAGCTAACGAATCAATGATTCTCGGCTCCTGATTTTTCTTTTAATTTTTATTTTTAAATTTGGGATTGAGTTTCACTGGTGGTGAAAGGTATGTCCCGTGTAACTTCCAGTGATGGATCATGTCATGTAGAATGCAGAATTCTTTTTCACAAAATTTGGTATATCTAGAAGAACTTAAATTTTCGTTTTTACAAGTCTCTGTGTTTAATTTTGTTTTTTTTTTTTTGATGTTAGGCGTGTTTTTAGAATCAGGTGTAGTAAACAATTGCTTAGAAAAAAAGGATGACC